TACTTGTTGTAGTTGCAGTTTTATCTGTGTGATTATTTTATCATCTTTTGTTCCACTGCAAGCTCATGAGGACAGTGATCAACACTGTTTTTGCTCGTTTGCCCGTGTGTTCCCCTGCTCTAGCTCAGTGCTGGTGCAGGGGAGGCACTCGATAAATGTTAAAGGAAGGAACAAAGGCCCTGCGTTCCACACTGGGATGATAAACCATTCTGCTCTTTAGAAAAGTAGTACGTGAAAATATGACCTCTCCATCAAAGAAGGGAGGAGCCCCAAGCATGTCACCCCTTCTCACAGCTAAGCAGAAGATAAAGGACATTGTTCCCCAAATCTAGAGCTCCACAAGGGCCAGGTCTTTATCTTTTCCATCAAAGGTGAATCATTGATTTTGTTTGGTTTAGGGTTTTTATTTAGGCAGCTGAAGTATAAAAAGCAGTTGAAGAGATGTAACTTTACCCAAGGAGGCCATACCATTAATAGTTAAAAGCTTGGTGTCTTGATGGGACTGCTGCCCAGCGATATGACCTTGGGTGAGTTACTTAGCCTCTCTTGGTCTCATTTCCTCGTTACTACCAATTTCATAGAGTTGCTCTCAAGTTTCCCTGAAAGAATGCAGGGAAAGCATTGAGAACAGTGCCTGGCACAGAGCACGTACTCGGTACCCATTAGCTGTCCTTCACCTCAGCTCTCCCTGCCTTCCTGGTGGTTGCATAACATTTGTTTCATTAAGCAGTAGCACACTGGATGGCAGAGGGTAATAAGGAGAGACATAGCTCCTGCCTGCGAGGAGAGCACAATTCATTCTCTGGTTCAACCTCTGGAGAAAGAGGGGGGGGAGAGGTATTTACTGCCCACCATTCAGTACTTGGCCTGAACAATGTAACATGTGTAATGTCCTTGAAGATGCTTGGAAGAAAAGCATAGGATAATCTTAAAGGGTGCTGAGAATTTTTCCTATTTGACCTTTCCATCACATTCTCTCCAGTTCCCTCTTCTATTCTTTTTTGTCTATCTGGAGCAGCCCACATTGCCACAGTGAACTTGACTGTTCTGAAATAGTTCTAGGTGAAGGCATGCCCAACAATAATGGTTCACAGAATAATGTTGATAGTAGGAGCTCAGAGAGGTTAAGTAATTTACCCGAGGTCACCCAGAGCTGGGCTTTGAACCCAGATCCAGTTTATTCTTAACCACTTAAGCTTTGTGTGAATCTTAAGCTGCCTGGAGGTCTTTGAGAGTTCTCTGGGTAATCCACAGTTAGGTTCCTTATATAAGGAAGGGTGGAAGGGCACCAAGCAGCATTTCCACACCATTCTTTTTTGCTGTGGGTTTGAGTGAAAGGAGAGGTAGGTTTCGTGAGCTCCTGCCTTATTAGCTTGATGCTCCTATATTAGAGGGGATGGGTAGGATAATAAAGCCTTAATGTTGAAGGAGATTAGAGACCATCTTAACTAGCCCTAGGGCCATTGAGTGACTTGCCCAAAGTCCTGTTCCTCTGTATTGATAGAGCTGGCCAAACCCAAGGCTCCTGGGTTTTCCTCTCATACCAGCAGGCCTCCCTGGAGGAACGCATCTCGGCACTCACATCTTATTTGTCCTCGAATCCTCCTTTGTTTCTTCCTTGCTAAAGGTCCAGGAGCCTACTTCTTGTCCTCCTTAACCAGTCCACCTTCCCTCCTTTCCTCTGCAGTAGAAGATGATAGTTCCCATAACCAGGACCATCCCAGGCAGCTTGGGGACTCTATTTGTGAGGGAGTGGGTAGGAGCACAGGGAACTAGATATATAGACAGTCCTGGACTTATGATGGTTTGACTTCTGGTTTTTCAACTTTATTTTTATTGATTTATTTTTGAGACAGAGTCTCTCTTTGTTGCCCAGGCTAGAGTGAGTGCTGTGGCATCAGCCTAGCTCACAGCAACCTCAAATTCCTGGGCTCAAGCGATCCTGCTGCCTCAGCCTCCCGAGTAGCTGGGACTACAGGCATGCGCCACCATGCCCGGCTAGTTTTTTCTATATATATTAGTTGGCCAATTAATTTCTTTCTATTTATAGTAGAGACGGGGTCTTGCTCTTGCTCAGGCTGTTGTCGAACTCCTGACCTCGAGCAATCCTCCCACCTCGGCCTCTCAGAGTGCTAGGATTACAGGCGTGAGCCACTGTTTTTCAACTTTATAATGGTGAGAAAGTGATTCACATTGAGTAGAAACCATATTTCAAGTACCCATACAACCGTACTGTGTTTTATTTTAGTACAATATTCGGTAAATCACATGAGATATTCAACACATCATAATATTACGAAATAGATTTTGTGTTAGAGGATTTTATCCAACTGTAAGCTAGTGTAAGTGTTCTGATCACATTTAAGCTAGGTTAGGCTAAGCTATGATGTTCAGTAGATTAGGTGTATTATATGCATTTTCGACTTAAGATATTTTCAATTTATGATGGATTTGCCAGAATGGATATTTTCAATTTTTGATGGATTTACAGGACGGAACCCCATTGTAAGTCAAGGAGCATCTGTACTGAGTTAAAAAGTGTTTGAGGGGCCAGGCAATGTGGCTCATGCATGTAATCCTAGCACTTTGGGAGGTCAAGGCAAGATCATTTGAGCTCAGGAGTTTGACGCCAGCCTGAGCAAGAGTGAGACCCCATCTTTACAAAAAATAGAAAAATCAGCTGGGTGTGGTGGCTCACACCTGCGGTCTCAGCTACTCTGGAGACTGAGACAGGAAGATATCTAGCCCAAGTGACAGAGTGAGACCCTGTCTCAAAAACAAACAAACAAAAAAACAGGTGTTTGAGGAATGGTGGATTAAATGATGCCCTCCCTGGAAAAGTGGAGGCAGAGCAGCAAAGCAGAGTGGGGGCTGGTTTATATCAGGCCTCCTGCCTCAGGGCATGGAAGATCCCAGAGAAAAGCTGACACCAGTAGGTCATGAGGATGCCACTTGTTTAGATTTCAAATGTGTTCCATTCCATGCCTCACTTAGGACCAGTTGGCCACCCTGCTCAGAGCCTGGGCCTCATCTGTTGAATTTTCCTGAGACAGAAGTGTCACTGCATTCTTTCATGTGTGGGGTGTAGGCAGCACTGCCTCTTTTAGAAACTATGTGGACACTTTGAACTGTGTCCTTGCCAGCCAGTAACAGAAGAATGGCACTCGCACGGACTGGGTAAACTTGGGAGAAACTTTTTCATGTCCTCATGAAAAGCATGTTTTGCCCTGAAATCAGAGAACATGTGTTCTAGCAAAAGTAGAAAGCATAAATCTGTTTTCTCCATCTGCACCAGGCCTCAGAGGGGACATCCAACTGGACAGCCACCTGCTAGGTGTCTCATTTGCTTATGGTGGGAAAATGAAGATAAAAAGAATGCTATTTGCAATATTGTGAAATGCTTGTGCTCAGAGTTTACAAATGCCTTTTCCCATATTTCCTTCTTCCTAAACCCCTTTATACCAGAGTGTAAGACTTTTAAAGACCAAGAAACACCAAGAAAGTATGGCAGAAACTTGCACTAAGCCAAGAGTTCGGTTTTCAGCCCTGCGCTTTCTCTTCTCCCTGTGGCTTCAGGTGCCTATACTGTTGCTGCCCAGCCTCTAGCCCTATAGACAGTTGCTGGAATGCTTCGTGTGTACCCTTGGCCAAGAAGACAGCATAGTAAAGCAAGGCCCACAGGGGAGGATCCAACCATGTGACTTAAGTTTCCACTGGCAGTCGTCCGCCCGGATGTGCGCTGTGGGCAGGGTTAGCCTGGGGAGTGGCAAATACAATACTGTGGTTTTAGTTTCTTTGCTGAGTAGGGTTTTTTTTCCTTCTTAATTCTGAGCTGCTTGAGGATAGGGACAATGTCTTATTCATTTTATCCCTTGTACCCAACACAGTGCTTGGCACAAAGACATCGTCCATTAAATGAATGTGTTACTTCTTTTAGAACAAAGAAATGTCAAAAGCCAGACACAACATTGTGCCTTACAGGTTTCAGCCTGTGCCTAGTGACCCAAAGTACATTTTGGGCTAAGGTTACAGTTGGCTGGGGAGGTATTTTATATCTTAAACATGAAACATAAAAACGGTCCAGCTTGAGCAACAGCAGGACTCCGATGCTACAAAAATAGAAAAAATTAGCCAGGCACAAGTGAGGCATGAGGATCGCTTGAGCCCAGGAGTTGGAGGTTGTAGTGAGCTATGATGATGCCACTGCACTCTAGCCTGGGGAACAGAGTGAGACCCTGTCTCAAAAAGAAAAGTCCACCTCCATTCTTATCCACCAGTGCTGTGAATAGAATTTGTCAAACTGCTGGGTGGTTTACTCAGCAATGCCCTTTATGTGGCTGTCCCTGACAAGGGACAGTCCTGGATCCAGTCAGGATTTTTAAGAGATCATTCAATAAGCTAAAATGATCTAGCAAAATGAAATTGGACTAGGTCACTGAATGGAAAGCACCTTCTTAAAAGTGAAGAATTTCAGTACCAGATTATTTTTGCCTTTTTTGAAATCACACTGTCAATTAACCTTGGAGATCCTATGTTTTGAAGGGAGAATGGAAGGACTGAGGGGAGGTGCTAATCCTAGAATACATACAACATTAATTATTCCAGGAAGTTTGGCAGAAAAGCCAGTTCTATTTGAAACATACTGCTAATTACAGGAGAGTCTTCACCTCCCTGCTGGCTGAGTGTAGCACTGGAAAATGGAGTGTTTCTTCTTGGACATAAAGAAAATGAGGCAACCCTTCCCTGTCCTTTCCCAGGAGAACTTGGCTTTGTGTACTCAATCCCCTCCCCTCTTTAATAAACCGTATATTTTTTTCTTAAACTCTGTTGTCATTGTGTGATTCTTTTAAAGTTTTTTTCTCTTAATGGAATAAACATTGGTACAAACTGTTTTGGGGTTGGGTGGGCAGGTAACCAGCAGGAGGGGGTGAGAAGGAAAGTGTTTAAAAGCTGTAATTTAATATGCTAAAATGCTTTTTTGTTTTTTGTGGTTTTTTTAGGATAAGGAAGCCTGTGTGGGTACCAACAATCAAAGCTACATCTGTGACACAGGACACTGCTGTGGACAGTCTCAGTGCTGCAACTATTACTATGAACTCTGGTGTAAGTCCTTGCCCAGGGGTTTCTTGGTGTTCCAGAATCCCGGTTATTGCCTCTGCTCAGTGGGAAACTATGGGGTGGTCAGCCCTTTTCTGATTCCCTTGGGGATGATTTTGGTGAGCAGAGTCTGTTTACTGGTTCCAGAAGTGCTTCCTTCATAGAAGGGGAGAATTCTGGTGCTTTTTGGACACCATGGGCTGAAGACAGGAGCATGTGGTCTGAGCCAGGTCTGACGAAGAAGCTCCTGCTTCAGATTCTCCCTGATACCCTCTCCATTTTGTGCTGAGCAGCTGACAGCAACCTAGATCCTTCCTTGGACCAGCCCAGAAGCCCAGGCTTAGTGTCTTTGCAGAGAGGTTGCAAGCCAAGCTACTGGGAAGCCAGGCTGAGCTCTAGATGGCCACAACGCCAGGGGTTTCCCGAATTCCCCATAGAGCCTCACAGAGCTGCCTGTTTCAGAGCGTCCCTCTCAAAGGAACAGTCACTCCCAAGGTCCCTGCCTGTGGAGCCCTCCTGGAGAGAGGGAGTCTTGGAGTGCCGCACCTTTTGTTCCTTCCTCACTTCTCAAACTGAAGCTTCCCCAGTGTGTCTAACCTGTTACTGTCAACTAAATGCCATCTGGAGATGATACTTGTCACCACTGGTTTGGTTGAGACCAGGACTGTTGGTATCTTCCAGGGTTGCACAAGTTGGTGACATTGTTATTGTCTTTAGGGAGTGACCCAGGGTTGCTTCAGCTAACACACTTTGTACTCTGACCTTACGAGAACTCCGATAAGACAGGATGCTGGACAAAGAATGGGTAGTTGAGGGATCCCTTAGGGAAGAGAGGCCCCAGGTGACCGACATTGCAGTGGTTCTCACAACTGTCTCTGGAGAGAGGAAACTATAAACAGTTTCCCCAGATAATTCTAAGCCCCCAGCACTGCCTCCATTTGGAAATAGACTTTGTGCTTGTTTGTCAAACCATGCCCTAACGCCCACCGTCACCCCTTCCCTTTTCCTCTTTCTCATCTCCTCATTCCATCCACATCAGTGGTGTGGTAAGAAGGCAGCCAGAGGACTGTTGTTTGGACCAGAAAGGAAATTAGGGTCTTGGCTGGGAAGTGTCTCCTTCTGAAATGCAATTGTGTCTTGTAGCCAGCAGGACTGGTTTCTCTAAACAGGACCTCTCCCTCACCCCTACTTGTCCCTTTCAAGGACCAAGAACTGGCTCATCTACCTTTCAGAGGAATTCCAGGGGCAGTCCAGTTCAGGAGGGGACAGGGTTCAAGGTGTCCCCACCAGAACTCCATACCTATGAGCAATGAAGGAAGGCACAGAGTCATTGTTGCTATTTTAGAAGGGATGGGGCTGAGAAACTTACTAAACGACTCAAAGTGCCAAGCAGGTGGATAGACTATGTTTCAATGTTTTAAAATGCAGATAACCACAGGGTTCAAATTCTCCCTCCCACCCCTTGTTAAAAGTTGAAGCTGGGCTGCCAAAAAGTCACAGAGCTGCAGTTTGTTTTTCTGGGGCCAGGCCCAGGTAGCCAAAAGGAACAGAGTTGCTGATGGCCCCATCTCAGATTGACAGAGCCTGCTGGGCCTCTGGTGGAGTAGACTCAGTAGCCACCAGAATTGGGTCACCAAAGTCAGGAGTGGGAGGTGGGGTGGTGGGGACAGGGAGACACAGATGGCAGGGAGGTAGTCTGGGAAGCAGGTGCTTCACCCTGAGGACTTAAAGAAAGTCGGAGGAAGAGCTGCTTGACTGGCTGATTCTCTCTCCGTTATGGTCAGTTGGAAAAAGGAGGCCAGACACAGCCCAGTGTTTAGACAGGGAGAAAAAACTCCCAATTATACAAGTTGGCACATGCTTTCCAAGTTCTGGAGGGATACACATTATAAAAGCAAAATGTTCCTTTTATCTATGCTCAGAAGTGACTTCTTGGTCAGGAGACGCCCAGTGTGGATTCTCTCCCTCTCAGGAATTCCTTTGGTTTTCCTCCATATTAGGGTCATGAATTCTGCCTGATGTGTACAGGAGGAGGTTGAGTGTTGAAATGAGCCCCTGAAGTTCTCATCAAAGCTGCACATTTTGTTGCTTTAAACCCTGCTCCCTCTAATTGCCTCTCAACTTTGCCTGAAGTGGGACAGTAATGGGCTTTGGGTTGGCTTCCCATTCCTCTTCCTTTGGAAGGAAAAAACCTCAGCCGGGAAATCCTTGGTAGAGTTTCGTGAAACTGAATTTCCTGTGTGCTGAGGGTTAACACACAGACACACATATACTTTGCACAGACACAAGCACACGCAGACCTGGACCTTGGCGAGCAACCTTTTCTCCCATGTCTTTTCCGTCTGTCATAACCTGAGCCAGTTGCTGGGCCGGCATGCCAGGCGCACGGAGGATCACATTTTACAGGTGCAGTAGTTAGGGCTATAAGGACCTGGTCATTGTTATGATCTCCATGCATTTTTGTGGCAGTTGCACTTTGACTTACCATCCACCATGTGTTCATTCAGCAAACCCATATTCCAGTGGTCTAGAAAGTTGGTAGGTATCAGAATTTCCTAGAGGGCTTATCAAAACTTATGTTTCAGGGCCTAAACCCAGAGTTTTTGATTCAATAGGTCTGAGGTGGACCTAAAAATGTGCAATTCTGGCCGGGCGCTGTGGCTCACGCCTGTAATCCTAGCTCTTGGGAGGCCGGGGCAGGCGGATTGCTCAAGGTCAGGAGTTCAAAACCAGCCTGAGCAAGAGCGAGACCCCGTCTCTACTATAAATAGAAAGAAATTAATTGGCCAACTGATATATATACAAAAAATTAGCCGGGCATGGTGGCGCATGCCTGTAGTCCCAGCTACTCGGGAGGCTGAGGCAGAAGGATCACTCGAGCCCAGGAGTTTGAGTGAGTGCCGTGCTGACGCCACGGCACTCACTCTAGCCTGGACAACAAAGCGAGACTCTGTCTCAAAAAAAAAAAAAAAAATGTGCAATTCTGACAAGTTCCTAGTTAATGCTGTGGCCTCTCTTGTGCTAGAAACTGGGGGAGACAGAATTCTTGCCATCAGCAGGTAATCTAGCAGAGAGAAGAGGTAAGACCAGATATCCAACTAGTAATGTGAAGTAGAGGTAGAATGTATGTGCCAGCACGTCTATGAATGTTCAAAAGGAGAGTTTGCTTTGGCTGGACAGAGCTTGGGGCAAGCTGCATGGCAGAGGTAGCATTTGAGGTTGGCCTTAAAGGGTGGATAGGATTTACGCATGTGGAGAAGGGTGGAAGGAATTTCAGGACAAGAACACCATAGGCCAAAGCCCTGTGGGAAAGAACAGAGTATGCATCTTGTTAACTGTTCCCCTGGGGCTTGCCTGGGAAGAAATGGGAGACAAGGATGCTGGTGTGGATAGAACTCTCCCAAGTGCCAGGCACTAAGTAGGGTCTTCACCTGCATCAGCTGGTTTCACCCCAGGAACCACCCTGCTAGGTATACATGTTATCACATTTCACAGGCTTGGGACAAGGAGGCACTCTGTGGGCTGCAGCTGAGAAGTAAGGTACAGAAGGTCTTAAATGCAAGATGAAGAACTTTCTATGTACATGTTTAATTTCAACCTGAGATGATACCATTCATGGAACAGGCAAAGCAAAGGAGAAAACCAGGACCCCGGGGAGTCCAAGAACACACTTGGGGCCAAAGATCCTAAAGCCAGATCTTCCAGTTCTCACCCCAGGGCTCTTTCCACTCGCCAAGCTCCGCTTTCCAGGGAGATGTCAAAGGTGAGAATTTATGCCCGTGAGATAATTTGGGGGAATTTCACTCAGACATCAGTTTTCCCTGGTTTGGGCTTTAGTGGGGAGAGGATTGTGTTTCTGGACAGTGGAATTTCCCTGAAATGACATAAAACAGGCTATTAGCAAATCCAGTCAATGCTGCCCAGCTTGTTTTTCACCTGCTTTTTTTGTTCTTTTTAGTTTCTCTTAATATACCCATTGTTGGCCAGGGCTCAGTAAATGGGAGTTGTCCAGTGAATTTTGCCAAAAACAGAACCTAGAAGCAATCTTTGAACTTGTTCCTGAACTCATGTTTCTTTATGGAATACTTTTGGGGAGTTAAAAGGGTCATTGAAAGGAAACCCTTCTCATCCATCTGTGGTTACGCCTGTAACATCAACAGCATTAATAATAATAAGCTAGAGAACTCACCGTATGTATATCAGACACGGTTCTGAGCATGTTACTGTATTAACCCCCTTAGTCCTCGTAATGGCCAAGTAAGTTAGTGACCATTATTCTCCCCATTTTACAGATGAGGGAAGTAAAACCAAAATGGCCAAGGTCACAAAGCTAGGAAATGGTTTTTCAAGCTGGGCTTTGAACCCAGGCTGTCTGGCTTTTCTTTTCCATATCTGCGGTCATGCTTGTATAAGTGTTGGCAGTCTTTGAGATGAACTTGCAAGTCTCCAAAGTCTTCATTTCCCAAATTCAGGCCCTTTCCACAGTGGCAGCGGCGGAGCTGTGAAGGGCCGGGGAGTTACCCACCACCCCATGGGGATAGAAGGAGAGCCCACTACAGTATGCCTTGGCTTCCTAATGGGGAATTTCCTGCCAGTTGAGGAGTGGTGTTTTCCCAAGTTTTAGTGAACTCTGGGGCACATGACTCAGTTCCTACTTTGGACCGTGATTGTTTTTAAAAACATGTTTTCCACTTTGCTTAGCATGACAAAGGCTCCCCACAGCGTTTGGAAGTTGTCATTGTGGAATGTAGTCTCTGGGTAGGTGTGTGGGGAGGATGGAGGAGAGGGAGGGCTGTATTTCTGTATTTCTCTTGTGTGTCTTTCATTAGGTTTTACTTTTTTTTTTTTTTTTTTTGAGACAGAGTCTCGCTTTGTTGCCCGGGCTAGAGTGAGTGCTGTGGCGTCAGCCTCGCTCACAGCAACCTCAAAGTCCTGGCCTCAAGCAATCCTCTTGCCTCAGCCTCCCGAGTAGCTGGGACTACAGGCATGCGCCACCATGCCCGGCTAGTTTTTTTCTATATATATTAGTTGGCCAATTAATTTCTTTCTATTTATAGTAGAGACGGGGTCTTGCTCTTGCTCAGGCTGGTCTCGAACTCCTGACCTCGAGCAATCCACCCGCCTCGGCCTCCCAGAGTGCTAGGATTACAGGCGTGAGCCACCGCGCCGGCCGGTTTTTACTTTTTTAAGCTTGTTTTTCTTGTTTTTGAAATCTAGCTAAAAGATTAAAATTTTGCCTAACTCCATAGAAACTAGTCTGAATATTCCCCCTTTTAAAGTTATTGGGACATGACTCTGACTAGCTTGGCTCCCTAGAGAATCAGATTTGTGAGAGCCAGATCAGAATGTCTCTTTTTTTCCCTTTTTTTTTGAGACAGAGTCTTACTCTTGCCCAGGCCAGAGTGAAGTGGTGTCATCATAGCTCACTGCAACATCAAATTCTTGGGCTCAAGTGATCCTCCTGCATTAGCCTCCCAAATAGCTGGAACTATAGGCATGTGTTACCACACCTGGCTAATTTTTAAAATTTTTTTGTGGAGACTGGGTCTTGCTATTGCCCAGACTGGTCTCAGACTCCTGGCCTCAAGTGATCCTCCTACCTTGGCCTTCCAGAGTGCTAGGATTACAGGTGTCAGCCACATGCCCTGCCTAGTGTCTAGTCTTAAATCAGCCAGCACTCATAAGGATGGAAATGTAAGTTAAGCAAGTTTCCGTCGAGAATCTGGGCAGGACCAAAAGGGAGACTTCTAACGTCAACTTATGTTCATTCTCTGGTTAGGAATGGAGGTTTTTGGACATCACTGTTCAACCAAAGCTTCATGCTGGGTCCTTGTACTCAGAGAACAGGCAGAGGACAACAGAGGGGTTTTTCCTTTTTACCCAAAAAACTCCATTTTTGGCCAATTAACTCCATTTTTGGCCAGTTAATTTCTTTCTGTTTTTTAGTAGAGGCGGTTTTGAACTCCTGACCTTGAGTGATCCACCTGCCTTGGCCTCCCAGAGTGCTAGGATTACAGGTGTGAGCCACCAGACCTGGCCAGTCACAAATATTTTTAAAATTTAATTTGTTTTTTTAGTTTTATAATTTGAAAGAAGACTTGGGTGTGGTGGCTTGTGCCTGCAATCCCAGCTGCTCAGGAGGCTGAAGTGGGAGGAGCACTTGAGCCCAGGAGTTCAAGACCAACCTGGGCAACCTAGCAAGATCGTATCTCTAAAAAAACTTTTAAAATTAGCTGGGCATGGTGATGTGCATACCTATAGTCCCAGCTACTTGGGAAAGTAAGGTAGGAGGGTCATTTGAGCAAGAAGAAAATTTAAATTTTTCATAATCCTATTCCTTAAAATTGCCATTATTTTTGTTTTTCCTTTCAGTCTTTTCCCCCCATATGTGTGTGTATGTGTGTTTAAAACAAAATTCCTCATTAATTAAAAATATATACATTTAAAAGCCTTTTCTGCATACATTTGACAATCGGGGAGGTTTTATATTAGGGTTTGCTGAGATTCTCTGAGTATGATCCAAGAGACAGCACAGTGGGAAATGAGAGGGCTGGGCCTTCACCTCTTTCCTCTACCCCTTCCTGGAGCAGGGAGGAAGAGGGGAAGGCTGCTACAGGCCCTGAGTCTAATGTAAGTACAGGCCAAAGGCAGGTGGGAGCAGATTATTTGTGGCAGTGGGAGATGGAATTATACCGGATTAGGATTATACTGAGAGCAGAGGAAGTCATTTACACTCTCTAGGGAAGAAGTGGACCTGAGGCAATTAGAATTTTTCCACCTGTAACTATAGTGATTCTTGCATTAAAGAGACATACACAGTGGAGAAAAGCCCTTGGTCTTTTTGGTGATATCAGGAGAACCATAAGAATTCTTGTATCAGGAGGCACTGCTGAGGTCCCTTGCAATTGCTAATCTTCTGAGTTGGTGGGGCACTAAGAAAGACTAAAGCATTTTCTCAGAGATCTCTTAAGAGAGGAAGAGGACGCTGTCCTAAAAGGTGAACATATTTAATGCCCACAAAACCTAAAATACAGAAGGACTAATCACTGGTGCTGGAGAGATGCATTGGCACATGTCCATTCCCCCAAGGTCCCTAGAAAGAGTGACCTCCTTTGCTGTCACCATCCTTACACTCTACTCTCTTTCATCCTATGTGTCTTTTACTCTGCTACAGACATTTATGAAAATTGAACACATGGCTTAAATGTAAATTAACTGCGTGAGGCTCAAACGTGCCAGCTTCAACCATGTGGGCACCGTCCGGGACCGCCTTGTCCTGCAAGCTGCCCCTCTGTCTGGTACTCACTGCGTGTACATCCTCTTTGTCTCGCCTCTCCCACCCCCCAGGGTTCTGGCTAGTGTGGACCATCATCATCATCCTGAGCTGCTGCTGCGTCTGCCACCACCGCCGAGCCAAGCACCGCCTTCAGGCCCAGCAGCGGCAACATGAAATCAACCTGATCGCCTACCGGGAAGCCCACAATTACTCAGCGCTGCCATTTTATTTCAGTACGTACACCCAAAGCTGCCATCCCCCATCCTCGGGAGCTCGGGTGCACAGACCCAGGGCTCAGACTGTACACTGGGTCCCAGGGCCCCTGTGGGCATGGGGTTTGCCCTCCACTTTCCTTCCATAGAGCAGGGTCTCAGAAGTACAGGGACAAGGGGCGCTTCAGCACGAGGGAGCAGGAGCTATGGACACAGGTCCCTGAAGCAACTGGACCATACCAGAGCTCACAGTGGCTGGATTCTGGCCAGATCTCTGCTCCTTTACAGATTTTTTTGTTTTGAAGGCAGATAGATAGTATATAATGTAAGTGAATTGAGATTTGCAGTTCAGTGGCCTGAATTCCTCCTACTTTGCTTACTGCCATATGATATGCCTGAGCACAGGCTGCCGTGTCAGGGGTGACATTAGTACTTCCTGAGAACCAGAAACTTGGCGAGTCACTGAAGAGCACTCCCCAGAATTCCCTAGCGCTCATTCCGTGTGGCCTCTCAAATGGTTAACAGAGACCCAGAATGGCCCAAAGCCATTCTGCAGTGTATTCTACAAAAAAAAAAACAAACATTCGCAGTTGTTTGGATTCCACATCTAGACGGGTTAAGTGCTTATTAGCACAGTGGCTGGCATATAGTAAGTGCTCAATAAATGCTAGTAATTATTGTTATAACTAGATCATCTGTGCCTCAAGGCATTCAGCACATTCAAAAGATAGTTCACCTGGCATGTTTTTAATATGCCTTGAACGACAGAGGCCCTAAACCCTTTGTTGGCCGCTCATCTGCTTTTGATCTGAGTGAAGGTAAAGCTTGGTGCATCTTTGCAGACCACCTCCAGCCACGCCAGAGAGAGAGAGAACGCAAATTTCTAACTTCCTAGAAAAAGACCCTCTTCCTGGCACATCTGGGAAGGGTAGGGGAAAGAAAAGTGGTCAGGAAGTCCTAAGTTAGGGTCTCTGACCCTGAGGCCTATGGGACTTAGGTAGAGGACACAGTCTGAGCTAGACACATGAGACGTGTGTGTAGAAACAGGTTTGTTCCAGGCAGAAGTTATCTTGGCCACCCACTACATTTGCCTAATCCTCTGCCTTGACTCCAGACAGGTAGAAAGTCCTTTCCTGTGAACCAACCAGTTTTAGGGACTCTTCAGATTTCAAGAAGCCAGGTCAGGTCACTCCCATACTGTCCCTCCTTCTCTGCAGAGTTGCCCACACTGGGTGGGTATGCTGGGGTGGAAGAGATAATGCCTATGTTTAGTGGGAGCTTTGCAGTCTATCCTAGGACAATTGCCAGTGCAGTAATTTCTCCTCCGTACCTCCCCATTTTAGGGTTTTTGCCAAACTATTTACTACCTCCTTATGAGGAAGTGGTGAATCGACCTCCAACTCCTCCCCCACCATACAGTGCCTTCCAGCTACAGCAGCAGCAGTTGCCTCCACAGTGTGGCCCTGCAGGTGGCAGCCCCCCAGGCGCTGATCCCACCAGGGGTTCTCCAGGGGCACAGAGCAGCCCCTTGTCTGGGCCCAGCAGAAGCAGCACAAGACCCCCAAGCATCGCTGACCCTGAGCCCTCTGACCTGCCAGCTGACCAAGCAGCCACCAAAGCCCCTGGAATGGAGCCCAGTGGCTCCGTGGCTGGCCTGGGGGAGCTGGACCCAGGGCCCTTCCTGGACAAGGATTCAGAATGTAGGGAGGAGCTGCTGAAAGATTACAGCCCTGAGCATGGCAGTGTACTCCCTGACAGCAAAGACAAGACACCTGGGAGACATCGCCGCTTCACAGGTGACTCGGGCATCGAAGTGTGTGTGTGCAACCGGGGCCACCATGATGATGACCTCAAAGAGTTCAACACGCTCATCGATGATGCTCTGGATGGGCCCCTGGACTTCTGTGACAGCTGCCACGTGCGGCCTCCTGGTGACGAGGAGGAAGGCCTCTGCCAGCCCTCCGAGGAGCAGGCTCGAGAGCCTGGGCACCCCCACCTGCCACGGCCGCCCGCATGCCTGCTGCTGAACACCATCAATGAGCAGGACTCGCCAAACTCCCAGAGCAGCAGCTCCCCCAGCTAGAGCAGGCCCTGCCTGTGTTCAAGAACTTGACAAAGCAATCAGGGTTGGGGAGAACCACAAGAGAAGCATTAAGTGACTTTTGTTCCCTTTTTTTTTCCCCTTCTCTCCCGCATTTTCCTACATCTCCAGGTACAGTTCGGGGTGTGGATGCCTCTTCTTCACCCACAAAAGCACAGTGTTGTGGAGGGCTGAGAAGTTGGTTCTGCGACTCATTCCTCATAGCCCACACCCATCCCTTCTTTTTAAGTCATATCTCACCTACATGTTGGGGTCAGAGATATGTGTGTTTTAAAAGCCCTCACTAATGGAGGCTGGGACTGTGCCCTGAGATGATTCTTGGTGATAGAGTGGATTTATGCCTGATTATAGTTTAAGAGAACTTTGTTGTGTCTCAGCCCAGGAGAGGCAGCCTATCTTGGCCCTGGGTGAAGAAGGAAGCCCACAGAGGCCCAGGGTTTGTTACCTGTGGCTGCCAGGGTCTGCAGAGCCAGAATTGGGCTAATCCTGTGGGACGACGAGAGCTGGCAGGCCATTGATGGTAGATTGGTAGGGGACTTGTTGATCTCTCAAATTCCAGGTGACAAGTTAGATGCACCCAGTGCATCCTTGATGGGCCCTTTCCCAGGAGGCCCTCACTAGCTGCAGACTGGGTCAGGTGTAGAAGATTATACTGCCTTTTCTTTGGTTTTTCTTTTAAAAACAAACAACAAAAGAGCCAAAAATAAGAATGTTACCGGTGGGCATGCAAGAATTCTCTTCTGGAAGAGGAAGGTTTGTGGCTCTCCCAAGTTGGCCTTCAAAGATCCCGGCTATGTTTGAGCCAGAGGGGAGATATTTTGTATGAAAGCTTGGATGGGAGCTATCTTGGGGACTTCTGTGAGCAGGAGGCCCCCAGTGGCTGTGGGGAGAGATGCTGCTTTCTGCATCTCTGTCATTTGGTCTATGCCCACAGGTGACCGGCATCAGCAGAGAACACCCTCTGCTGTCTGCATGTCTCAATGTTCCACGTGAACAAACGGACCGAGGAAGCTGTGGGGCCTAAGGAAGGGCACCCCCACAGCCTGGCTCTCACACAGTATTTTGTCTTTGATCTGAATAAGTTTTTTGGGGGGGTGGGGGGCACGGTTGTTGTTTGTTTTAAAATGACCACTTGGAAGAAATACCTTAGTTATCTGTGGTTTTCCTGCCTTGTCCCTGCCCCCACCACTTTGGAGTGGGGCAACTCATTTTTCTATAGCTTATGTGAAGAGTCTGAGCGGCTCAGGTGGGAGGTGAGGGCGGCCGTCCAGAAGGCTGCAGGATCCTTAGGACTATGTTTGGCTTCAGGTGACCAGTTGAGCTCGGTTAAGAATAATCCGAATGGAGAAAGCTGAAAGTAACATTCCCCATCCAGCCCTATTCACGTGAAGAGTTTGGTTCTTTCCCCACTCTTGAATGGTGACATTCAGACAAGGCATTGATGTTATGGTAAGAAAGGAAGAAAAAAATATATATATATACGTATATATATATATATATCTCCAAAAACAGACAAATCCAAGGCTGTGAGGTGAACAAGTGTCTGCGTTTGGATTCCACAAAACCAAAATCCATGTTGAACAAAGTGAAGTCCGTACACAGTGACTTTTTGGGTGACCCCGTGTGTGTGTGTGTGTGTGTCTGTCTGTCCGTCCGTCCGTCCGTCCGTCTGTGTATGTGCGTCTGTTGTGTGCGAGCCCCGAGCCCTGTTTTCCTGTGAAGATACTTTGAGTGGCAGCCATTCTGTTCATGTGACCCACACGTCTGGAGCACAGATGGCCCTCTCAAGGTAATTTATTTTACACATTTACTGTTTACTGAACAAATGTCTGACTCTGTACTCGGGTGTACTCAGTAGCATTGTCAACGGCAGTCCCCCTTTGTTTGCCAGAGATACTGTGCTTGAAGTAGAGGTTTTACTCTGCTCATCACTGCAATTTGCACATTGCTCCATGGACACTCGGAGGCCTGTGTTCTGTTCCCTGTCAATGGAAACGTGCTCTGAACCTGTCTGCCTCCCTCGGCTGCTCCTGGCCCTCGGTATCAGCCTCCGGGGGTGTCCACAACCACTTGGGACGGATGGTGAAGGTGGAGTTTCAGACAGAAGCTTGATTGGATCTTCAGTGACAAGCTTGCGCTACTGCCTGTGGCCCAGAAGTCGGCCCTGCCCAGAATTGCCAGGAGGAGGCTTTGGGGGACACTACAGGTACCGCAGGGCTCCCGCAGGTACTGCCCTCTGCGGAGTCCAGCAGACACAAGCAAGCAAGCTGGTGTGTGGCCAGAGTCGGCCAGAGTGCGTCAGCAACCCTCAGATGCCTTCCCTTCCACCTTTTTAAAAAGAGAAAATCCAAGTAACTCACTGAAGTGTCTCAAAGGAGAACAAGTTTTACCAAAATGAATCCTCCTTTATTTAACTGATCAAATGGATGAACTCTGACCCTCTCAAGTTTCTTTCCCCAGTTAGAGCTGGGGGACTGGTCTGAGTATCAGCTGTTGGGCTCACTGCAGCCCCTACCCTTATGGTGAGAGAAGACAAAATACAACCTGCAGGGCTGGGCTTGATTCCTGAGGCACAGTCTGGCCCCTGCTACAAGAGGCTACCCTGCTCAGAAAGACGGAAATAGGGGATTGAAGGGATAGTTGGGGGGCCAGGGAGATTTGATTGAGTGTGGTTTTCCAGGTGAATGAGAAGGATGGGGTTGGTCGAGGGTTTGGTGCTACAGTCGGAGATTTGCAAATGCTAACACATTCCTGTGTGAGGCACATCACCGTTTGTCAGTTGTTGTGAATATGTGTATTTTAAGCAATAAGATTCAGCTGGTCAGACTTTTCTGGGCAGTCTCAGTGACGCATTTCCTGTGCTGTGATTGTTCTGAAGACAGAGTGGCTCTAACCACTGTGAGAAGCCCAAATAAAAATCAGTCCCCAAAATTCTAATGCTCTTTTTTCTTGTGGTACTCTTGTTCCTTTTTCCTCTTTTTCAGACTTCAGGGAATTGCATCTCAGGATCCTAAACCACAAGCGCTTTTTCCTTCTCCACACAGAGACCGAGAGGTGTCACATAGCAGTGGGACAGGGTCCTGGGCCAAGGGCAGGCTGCTGAGTCCACACTTTGCCCTTTGCTTGGAGTCCCCGCCCCCCCAGCCCACTTACTGTCTGTCAAGGGAGTGTGTCTGATGTTTGAAATACTTTGTGAAGTCCCACAAACAGGTTAAAATCAAACCCCCAAAACCAGAAACAAGTTTTGTCAGGCACCCCATAGCTAAAACATGACATTTAAAAGGAAGCAAGCACTCTGAGAGGTCACTTTTGTTGATACACTAGACATGGGTGTAGATGCTTGGCCTTGGAATTTAATATACAAAAATACATATTGCGTTGCCCACTTTGTGCTCAGCACTGCCTTAGATGCTAAGGATAATGCAAAAGAAATACATAAGACAAGGGCCCTGCTCTTTAGAACTTAAATTATAGTCAGGAAGATAAAACATACATGTGTAAAATAGCTGCTTAACGTTATAAGGTAGGTTGAGATGAAGTGAGTAGTACAGATTCAGAGACTCTCCAGGAGTAGTGGGAGATAGTTTTGAGATCCTGAACGCCAGGCAGGAAGCCTCAGGACTGATTTTTAGGTAGCAAGTGTGCCAACATGTCATTGTAGGCCAGCGATCTTTCGTAAGACAAGGAGAGTTGCTTTGTTTTACCCTCTGCTTAAGACTGTTGGGACTTCAGATGTATGTCCTTGCTTGAAGTCCAGGGGAAGGAACAGCTTGCTACCTCTGCCCAGGGAGGAGGACACTCCTACCCAGCAAGACTTCTCTTTGGGCTACCCACAGATGTAAACCAGATGCATGTGCTAGTTGCTCTTCCAAAAGGGGTTCCTGCCTCCTCGAATGGAGTGCTCACTAGTGGGCCTGGGCTCCAGGTGTACTGGCAGTGAGTGTTGTCCTCCCCTGGCTTGCACAGCAGTCAGCCCTATTGTTTCTGAGAGGCCAGTGTTAGCTAGATATGCCCATGTCCCTATCTTTGACCCTGGCCAGAGGACACTGTCCAGGCCCCTCGGTATTGATAGTGGTGTGATGGCCGCCTAGTTCCTTCTAGACTGTTGGGCTCCTCCAGGCAACTCTCATGGAGCCATATTAGCAGGTAGGGATAGTTCCATTCTAAAACCACAGGAAAGAACTAGGGAAAACATCCTTCTTGCCTTCTTTAAGCTAATGTTTGAGTGGCATACAAGCAGAATAGTACAGCTCTTAGGGACTGGTCACCAGAGGCTGTGCATGGACCCTTGATGCCAGATCTACAGCCCCCACCCTCTGCCACCATTGTACCCTAGGCTCCTGAGTCACTGAGTGTCTCATTTCTCTAATGAGGTATGGCATTGGTTGTCTCTATTGCCCCAAGTGACCAAGTTCAAGTGGAGATAGTACCAATGCCCTGAAGCACAAAACAGTTTTGTCGAACAAGAATTTCATTATCCAGTTTCTTCTGTTTTCAGCTGGGGGCAAAAGCCAGGGTTTGACTCAGGAGGAGGAAGGGAAAGTGGATTTAGCTGAAGGGTTGTGGGTCAGGGGAGGTATTTGGGATTTGGATTCCAGCCAAGGGGCAAGTGTGGCCTTACTTAGGAGCTCAGCCTTAACCAGCACCTACCATGTTCCAGGCACAGGAACACAAAGATGCCTTCCACCTGGCTTCTCTTTAGAAGAGCTAATAATGGTCTAGAGAGGAAGGAAGGCACACACGCAGTTTTAGTCGTGCATAGTAAGCACCACGAAGCTTGTGTGCAGGAGTTGCTATGGAAGAGACTTTAGCCCAACTGGGAGTTCAGGGCAGACTTCCTGGAGGAGGTCACCTTAAACTGAACTTGCCAGTTGAAGAAAGGTACAACAGGAATTCTAGGCAAATGTTTGTCCTGCAGATGAGGACAACTGTGTGGGAGACCTAAAACAGGAGACTATATACACGCCATGTCAAATGCTGTGAGCACTTCAGCCTTTCTAGGTGATTGCATTCTGGGACATGTCAAGAGATAAGGCTGGAGAGAGAAGCAGGTCATAAAAAAGATTTTTATTTGCCTTTATTGTTTTGTTGGTTGACTATTTCTACAGTGCCAGGTCTTGTCCAAGCATCTTAGCCACATTTTCTTATTTTAGCCTCGAAACAGTTCTCCAGGCAGTTATTTGTTTTATTAATGGGATTGAGGCTTTCAGAGGAGTTAACGTGTCCAAGATCACACAGCTAATAGAGTAACCGGCAGAGCCAGGATTCGAGGCCAGATCTGTTGACTCCAAAGCTCAAGCAGACCAGAGTGTGAAGAGCTACGATGTTGGTGTACAAAAGACCTTGTGACTTATTTTCAAAAGCGAGAGGAAACTAGAGAAAGGTGCACTGAGCAGGGAGTAATGTGAAAGATGAAGCAGATGCCATTTCCTCCAGAGCCACTTTACCCTTGTCCCCCTGCCCCCTCCCCCAGGGGCCCCCCAGGCCCAGCACTGCTCCTCCAAGACCCTCTTGGTGCTGAAATGGCCTCACACCTGGGACAGGTGGCGCCTGCTGCATTTCTTCAGATCATTGTTAACTTGCCCAGGAGGGTGTCACCCCTTGAAACACTGTAAAACTCCCAAGAGTTAAAGCTGTTTGGCTTTTGTCTCTTTTCCTTCAAAAGAGTATTCTGGTCTTCCTCAAAGGAGATCAAAATAGAGCTTTCAGTGTTTGTGAGGGGAAGAAGAGGATTTTTGTTTGATCTGAAATTTCTTCTCACTCTGTAGAAGCCTGTTCCTTACCGTAGTTGAATATTCCTTCCATTTCATGTTTTCTCACCAAGAAGTCTCAAGAAACCCAATCGCATTGGAAAATGTTACAAAACACCCTCTGTTGGAGCCATGAAAGGAGTTTGTCTTTGGGCTCCCCACCCACTTCCAGCTGTCAGCCGCCCCGGCTCAGCTCAGAAGGGCCAGGCCAGGCGGGCCGCCAGCCAAGGGCTTCGGGGGCCCTACAGGGTCTCTGGAGCTTCCAGAGTGGGTTCCTGGAGGTCCCATGTGTGGATGGACCTGTCTGCACACACCCACTGCCCCCTCCCAGCCCAAACCAAGCTGGTGGCTGTGAGGAGGTTTGTATAAACCCTCAGAGAAAGACTTTGTGGCTTTGGACACTGACGATGATGATAAAGCCAATATTTACTGAGGCACTGAACGTATTGCATAGGTTTGTATTTGATCCTCACGGCAACACCGAGGTCAGTACTATTTCTGTATACACCTCAGCCCCTCATACTGCAGATATGAAAACTGAGGATTAAGAAGACCACAGAAGTTGCCCGTGGCCGCTCGGTCTGTAAATGACAGAGAATCTGTCTCCATAGCCGGGCCTGTGTTATCTGTGTGTCCCGTCCTTGTGGGACGCTCCTGCTTGCAGCCCTTTCTGCCTTTCCTCCTCCCCAGAGCTCAGATAGTGGGCAGCACAGTTGGTGAGTTACCCCGCCTGCCAAATGAGGAAACAGGTTCAGGGCTAGGAGACTGGGGGGCACTCGGGTTCCTCCTGACGCAGTGCCCTTCCCAGCCCACCCTGGCCTCTGTGACTGGACCCCTGTCCTCCAGAGAGGGGCGTCCACATCTGTGAGGGAGACTGCAGAGAGGGCTCCTCATTTGCTTCTGGTTTTGTGGCCACCAGAGGCCGACCAGAACGTTCACTGGCTCTCACCCCTGCCAAGGTTATGAGGGAACGACTCCCCTGCCCCTTGCAGGGGAGTCTGTGGGGAACCACTTTTCTCCTGGAAGGGGTGGCTCATAGCTCACCAGAGCTGATTATTAGGGTTTCAGGAATTTTATGAGCTTCTTACTAAACACCCAGTTTAAAAAATTAAACAATATAAACCTATAATTGAATAAGTTATATTAAAAACAAAGGTAATAAACACTCAAAATGGATCATTTGCTAATTCTTTCTACTACATGTTACTACTATTTATTCCCTTGAGTTTACTTAAATCTATATATCAGTATGGTGGAACTATTATATAATGGCATTTTCTACATAAAGGCAAAGAAGATATTTTGCCACTGTGCATCCCTTCCCAACTCTGTTCAGTGACATCACATTGACAGCTTGAAGTTGGTCATGGTGGTGGGATCAGCAGACACCACAAATCAGGGCTAATCCCTGCCCCCTCCCCCCACACTCAGAGCTGGTTAAACATTTATTGTCACACCACTGGTTAAGGATAGTATGAGGCTCAAAAAGTGACTGTGGGGTCTTAGCAAAAACCTTCCAGCTTTGCCAAAGATCTGGGCTTCTTTCTGCAAAAGGAGATAGAGTTTATTTGCTTATTACTGGGCCAATTCTCATGTGTCTAATTGTCTACCTGTCAGGTGCTGATATGCAAATAAAGAACATGAGAAGGTTCCACTTGAACCCCAGAGATACAGAGGTGGACAGTGTCCCTGGGGGACACCACCCCCACGTCGAGCCCAGGCAGATGCCAAGGTTCAGTACCAAGGAGCAAGCTGAATGCTAAAGAGGGACAGTCACGGTGGGTGGGAGTCATGAGAAATGGGTCAGAGCAGGTTTAGGCCAATGGGGAAAAGGCCTTCCAGACAGGGGCAGGGCACAGTTTGGGCAGGAGTCAGAGTTCATGAGGTCATTTTCTGAAGGACACTCAGCTTTTCTGAAAGGTACTTTCCCCAGCCACACTTCCAGAAAGCCCTTCTATGTGACCCCCAGGACAGGTAGAAGAGCATGGCTACCTCCTCCTCATCCATCACTGAAACTGTGGGCTCTGATCATAGCCCTGCTGCTTAGTAGCTGTGCAACTTGGGGCAAGTCACACACCTTGCCCGGTGGCTCTCAGTTTCCTCTCTTCAGTATGAAGAGTTAGTCTCTCATTTCCCTGTCATTGAGTGTTCTGGTTCAATAGTTGGAGACTGGATGTTTATCCCAGTTCAGCTCACCACTGCTTCTACAGAGGAGACAGGCTCTCTGCTGATTGTTTATCTGTTCATCACTAGTCTGCAAAATGCCTTTTAAATTCTGAACAAATTTGAAATACTTAACTCTCCCCCAGCCAATCCTGCCCCCTATGCTTTGAGATGAGGGTAGCTTGGCTGTGGCCCAGCAGCCAGCTCCTGGGGAAGAGCAGGCTGGGAGAGGGAAGGAGGCAGCCTTCAGTTCAGCCTTTCTCTTCAGCTCACGTGGTGCCAGCATCTCTCCCAGGCTGCGTGTGCTGTGGGCTCCTCAGCAAGGTCCCAGGGTAACTGGCGGGTGACAGCCAAGACTGAGCTGGGAGGATAGGAGGGAATGGTCCACCACCCCTGGATAACAAAGCTCTTGGAAGGAAGGAGGGCTGCTGTAATTAGAAACCTGTCCTCTCCTTGTAGGGTCTGCGTTGGTCTTTTCTGTCTGAACAGTTAGCCAGGCAGGGTCTCAGCCTTCCCCTGCTGGTCTTTCCAGAGCCTTCTGTCTAGTCAGAGGGGAAAGGTTGGGTTGATGATCTGACCCTGGTCTGGCTGGCGCCAGGGAGCTGGGGACAGAGCCTCTCTCCAGGCTAAAGGGCAAGGGTCAGTTTCTTCTGGGGCGTCTCAGGACATTTTTCATTTGTAGAATGAAAAACCTTGGCCAATGGCCAAGGTTTAAAGATGCTGATTTCAAGGTTTGAAGGAGTCTGGGCCACATTTTCAGGTGAGGAGCCTTTCATAGACTTCCTGGGGTTTTTGAGTAGGGAGAAGGGGCAGAGCCCAGGCGCTGCAGCAGAAGACAGCGCTTTCTACCAAGGGAAAATGGACCAACACAGGACGGTAGTGGCAAATCGAGTCTGGGGGTTACATACACACCCCCAAAGCCCAACCTGTGAGGCACTTGTAGTGAAGCCTGTTTGGATCAAAACAAACAATATTCATTGCTCTACTTTCAAAATGTAAACTCAACCTTGCCCCTTCTCGCTGTTTCCACTGCTGCTGCCGTGGTCTGAGGTTCCCCCTTCATAACTGCTCTGCCAGCCCCCCACCCCTGCTCCCTCTGCAGACCACTCTCCATGTAGCAGCCGGGGTGATCGTTCAGACACACGAACTAGATCACTCCACTTACATGTTCAAACCCCGCTAAGGACTTCCTATCATATTTGGAATAAAAATGCAACCTCCTTCTGGCTACTGCTTCCTACTCACAAAGACCTCCTGGGACCTGGCCCCCATCTTCCACTCTGGCCTCACAGGGGACAACTCTTCCCTTTACCGGCCTCTCCCACCTGCAGACCTTCTCACCTGGGCCTCCTCAGCAGTGAACACTCTCCCCACAGTGGCCACACCTTCCCCACCTCCTTGTTTAGAGCGGCCACCCCTGACCTCTGCCATTCTCTCATCACATCACACAATGTCATTGACTTCCTAGCACTTCTGAGTCTCTGAAATTCTTATTTGGTTGTTAGCCCTCAATAGAAAGTATTCTTCATGAGTCAGAAAGCTCAAGTGTCCCGGGAGTGAATGGCACATAATAGGTGCTCAACAAGATATCTGTTGAAAGGATGAGGGAGCAAATGAATAAATGAATAAGCTGCTCAGGAACCTTCTGGAGAAAAGGGTTTAGTTTATGCACATCACTGCTGCAGGCTGGAAAAGAGGGCAAGGTGGGCTGGGAGGAGAGGGATGGAGGGAAAGGTGGGGGAAGCACCTCTAATCTAATTCTGCACTGTGGGGCCAGACAGGGTGGAGTCAGGGGTGTTAGGTAAGGCCTTTAGGTGCTAGCCTCAGCTTGGGCTTCCCTCCAGGCCTGGCGCACCTTCATCTTCACTTTGAAAGGCTCGATCAGAAAGACCAACTTGGGTTTGCCTTCCAGGGAGGGCAGCTGCCCATCATCTGGCACGTCCAGCTCGAACCTCTGCAGCAACCAGGACATGAAGAGGAAGAGCTCCTGGCGGGCCAGGACTTCACCCACACAGGAGCGGGGGCCCGCTCCGAAGGGCAAGTAGCTCAACGATGGTGAGATGAGCTGGCTCCCCGTTGAATCCAAGAAGCGCTCTGTAGGCAAGGAAAGGCCCCAGGCAGGGCCAGGACGGGAGTGAGCAGAGGCATGCCTCTGCCTGGGCTAAAGGGGAGACATGACCCTGCCCGGGGAACCGCAGATACAGTCCTGTTCTCAGGTACCCCCTAATGACACAAAGGAAATGAAATATTCCGTAAGGATGGAAAGGAGGTGGTCTCTCCTACGGGATAGAGGGCAGGCTTAATGGGAGACAGATGGCTAGAGGACTTCTTAGAGGAGTCAATTTGCAGTTGGTTGGAAGGAGAGAGGGGAAACGCAGCTGCAAAGAGTTTGGGTCAGTCTACGGCAGGATGGGGTGTCAACAGGTCCCTGAAGTTGGAGCCAAGAGTTTTCTAGCAGCAAGTTTGGCAGAGAGAAGGGGGGTGGGGGTGGTGGAGCAGAGTCCAGGCTGGCTGTGTGGCCCAGGAAGCAGGACAGGACAGGGACTCACCAGGTAGGAACTGGTCTGGCTGGTGCCACTCCTTCTCATTGTGATGCAATGCCCACAGATTGATGACAATCTCCGTGCCCTTGTCAATGGCAAACTCGCCAATGCTGCTCCAGGGAGGGAGGGGAAAAGGAGGTCTGGAACGTTGTCCTCCCCTTCCTGCTCAGCCCCAAGCCCCCATATTCCTCCCTGCTGGGGGGAAGCACCCTGTACTCCCTTATGCCCACTCACTCATCTGCTGAGCTTCTGCCAGATCAAATCTGAACCCAGCCCTTCTCCAGCCCTTTCCTCTCAACAAGTGCTTATGTCAGAGCACTTGTGTGCATGGACATGCGTGTCAGGGTATGTGGGCGTGCATTTAAAGCTGGTGCATGAGTGTGTGTGCTGCAGCTGTTGTCCTGGGTAGAAGCATGGAGTGCCCAGTCTTTCATCCCAGACCATATGTCTCCACCGGCAGCAGGCAGCTTCTGAGGGAAGTTAGCAGAACTGTGGGTTAGTCCGTGGGTGGCAGTGGGTGGCAGTGGGTGGTGGGGACGTTGAGCGGCAGGGTGGGGTGGGATGCTTCATAGTAGTCAGTGGTTGGCTGACTCTAGGTTGACGAGCAGGCTGGGGCGGTGTGGAGGGGGACCAGGTGCACTGGCAGCGGTGTTGGACGCATCGTGGGGCTGGGTGTCACTGGGAGGGGAGGCACACCTGGAGTCAATGTTAGCCTTGTGGGGGATGAGCAGAGGGGCCACGGGCCTGATGCGAAGCACCTCTCGGATGGTGGCCTCCAGCATGATGAGATTGCTCCGGTCGCTGATGGTTGGTGTACGGCTGAAACCTATATTCTGGTCAATCTCCTCATGGATCTTCTTCTTTAACTGAGGGCCAGAGGAGGGTAGATGTGACCAGTGTGCTTAAGCCCCAGAGAAGTATGAAGCATGGGCTTAGAAGAATCCAACTGTCATATCCAGAAAAGCCTGTCCACACATTTCTCAGCGATGGCTCTGAGCCCAGGCTCTGCTTCCAGAAGATGGGGCAGCTCCACTCTGAGGCCAGGGTGAGCCACTGCTTGGGGAAGGAGCAGGGCAGGCCTAGTCTTCCTGCACAGGAGGCCTGAGGGTATTAACTCTCTCTCTCTGGGATCTAGAGGTTGGGCTGGCCAGGGTCTAAGGTAGACGGGAAGGCAGGAATAGGGAGAAGCCCACCTGAGGATTGTGCAGCAGGAAGGCCACAATCCACTTTATCACTGAGACAGTGGTCTCCACACCGGCCCCAAAGATGTCCCCTACTGTGGCAAGAATGTGTTTATCTGAAAGCTTCTTTGAATCCTGGTCCAGGTCACTGTTGTTATTATCTGAATTCATCTTGGCTTGGATCATAACGTCCAGCATGTTGGTGGTAGAGGTGCTCCTGAATCTCTCCTGGTTGGGTGAGGTTGGGAGACAGCGATAAGGAAGGAGCCCCATTTGCAACACTCCTGCTATACTCCTGTCCCAGGCTGGAGGCAACAAGGCTCCTCCTCCTTGCAAGTGGAGTGGGGCTGGGTGGGACCTATGAGCTTGTGGAGGTGGAGGCAGCAGAGGGCCCTCTTTAAGTTTGGGGGCAGGGTGGGTGGTTTCTGGGATCCTTTTCAATTCCTCACTTTCCCACCCCCATTCATAAAGTCAGTTTTTATTGTGCACCTGCTAAGTGCCAGGCTCTCTGCTAGGGTTTGGAGATCCTGCAGTGTCCAAAATGGCCCCCAAGTCTGCTCTCATGACTCTGTTAACCTAGCTGCTATTCTCATCTGCTCCATTACCTACCTTATATTTTTCCATTATTCCATTCAGCAGACCATTTCTCATCTTAACACACTTCCTCAACATTTCCATGCTTTTGTTAGGGAAAATCTGGGGAGTAAAAAGAAATGTCAAATCTATCCCTCTTCTATTTTGCTTTTTCAGCTGCCAGAATCCCTCCTGAAGGCAGATCCTAGCTTTCTGTCCCTGAAGAGTTCCCACTCCCAATTCTGACCTTCAGCCAAGAGGGAAGGCAAGATGCAGACACAGAATGGGATCATTATGACAACTAGGACAATTCCAAACAAGGGGAGAGGGAGAGGTCTCCACTTCCCTGTCTCCATTCAGTCAAACATCACACCCTGACTGCTGTGTGCCCAGTCCTTGGGGGTAAGACAGGCTCGAGTCTGAAGCCTTGAGCAAGCTCCTTAACCTCACTAAGGCTGTTTTCTCATCTGTGCAATGGGGATAATAAAAACTCCTTCCAAGGGGAATTCTGCAATTAGTACATGTAGAAAGCTTAATACTGGCACTCGGTAGTTAAAAAATAAATGGAAGCCATTATCAGGAGTATTTTATTTTATTTTTTGAAACAGAGTCTATGTCACCGGGGTAGAGTGCCGTGGTGTCAGCCTAGCTCACAGCAACTTCAAACTCCTGCCTCAGTCTCCTGAGTAGCTGGGACTACAGGCATGCACCACCATGCCCGGCTAATTTTTTCTATATATTTCCAGTTGTCCAGCTAATTTCCTTCTATTTTTAGTAGAGACGGGGTCTTGCTCTTGCTCAGGCTGGTCTCGAACTCCTGACCTTGAGCAATCCTCCCTCCTCAGCCTCCCAGAGTGCTAGGATTACAGGCGTGAGCCACCATGTCCGGCCCATTATCAGGAGTATTAGGATGTGTGATTAAAAGGTTAAGCCTACTTCAGTAGAGAGTGGCAAAGGTTTTGAGAGGGGGAGGAGATAGAGGTCACTGTGGCTGAGGGGTCAGGGAAAAGACGGGTTTGGAGCTGGGCAGGAAAAGAAGGAAGAATTGGGTCTGCTGGAATCCCACGGGGGGCCTGGCCGCGTCCTCACCTGCAGCCAGGGGAATATGTCCACCAGACTGCCGCTGCCCAGATTCTCCAGGATGCCCTCGTTATACTTCTGTATCACTGTCAACTCGGGGTCCCCGTACTTGTAGGAGTTGTTGAAGCAGATCAAGCAGATTATGTTGGTTATCGCCAGGAAGATAGGCACGGAAATATCTATGGACTGTCCCTCGTAGGTGACCAGCACATCACACAATACACCGATTTCCTGACATACTGAGGGGAGAGAGGGCAGGAGGGTGGGAAATGAATCAGTCAACACCCTTGCCCCACCATCCCCAGCCAGAGCAGGGACAGGTAGCAGGTGGCCACTAGATGGCAGCAATAGCCAAGAAAAGGCCGGACTGGGCCATTCCTAACCCTCTCCCCTCCGCAGTCCTCTTCTCCCGCAGCACCTGCTGTGGGATCCCCTCAGCCCTAGGGCCCAGCCTGGCACTCACTGATCTTCTCCAGTTTCTGGTTGCCGTCCTTGAACAGGGCAAAGGTGGCCAGCACCAGCTTCCGATGCAGCTGCCAGTGGGAACCAGCGTCAGCGAAGGCGATGCCCTTTCCATTGTCCGACAGGATGTCTAGGGAGGCCTTTGGAAAGCAAGCAGGGTTGTAGGAATCCCACACCATCCACCCCACCCTTGACCTGGGCCTCCGGTACCTGTTCCCCTTCCTGGGGGAGAAGGCAGGTATCTGCCATGCTGACTCCACTAAGGCTGTGAGGTCCCAGCAGCACAGGCCCTAAGGCCCCCTGCTCCCAGTTCCATCAGAGGGACACACAGTGAGGAGGAAGAAAGAACCCTGAGTTAGAATGCAGGAGGCCTGGGGTTCAGTCCTCTGATGGGGTGACCTCTGAGCCTCTCTTTTCTCATCAGCTTCTGACCAGGGGATAAGCTCTCAGAATCGTGCCTGTCCTGGGGGTGGGGGCGGGCCAGCTTGTAGAGATCAAAGACTACCCAGACCACTGTCTTGCCCTGGGTTTTCTGGGAAGTGCTAAAGGCACATCTCATCTCGTTTTGGTTTCCCCTTCCATTGCAAGCCTGTGCACCTGACCCCAAGCCCACGTCTGGAGAGTGCAACAGTTCCGTCCACCCAGTCAGGTCTTGGGCCAAGCAGCCTCCTCCTAGAGGTACCCCCAAAGCATAAGGGTCCAAAGCCTCCCTTTTCCATCCCCTGACCCCTAAGCCCCACCTGACTAGACTCCTCCATCCTCTCTGCTCTAGAGAGGAATCTAGTAGAGGTGGGTGCTGGGATGGGGGATCCAGGTGGGTTTCTGGATGGTTAGTGCCCACCCCCCACCAGGAGCACAACAGCAAGCTCTGTAGGTCAGCCCCCATCGCCACCCCGTGGGCTAGAGCAGCTGGGGACAGCTCCAGGGAAACTACAATCCCAGCCTTCAGGAGCCAGGCCACTTCTCCCATGGAGTACTACGTAATCACTACCCCCATTTTCCAGGAAGAGTAACATTAATACTGGTTATTTTTGGAGCACATACTGTGCTGGGCGCTGAGCTAAGCACTTTATATGCACCTCCTCAGTTCTTTGGAGAGGTCTAGGCCCAGAGAGACTATCATCCCATTCAGGGCCAGGATGGCCCCCTCAGGCCACTGCTGTCACCCCATCCCACACCCTGGGCAGCCCAGTAGAGGAGGCTTTCCTTTAATTCTTCCTGCCGACTGTAGAGGCTGGGTGGGATCTGAGGGGTTGCTCCCCTCCCATCACCCCACTGGTCTGGTTTCGGAAGAATTACAGGTTGTTTGGAGCCAGAAGGATCATTCCAGCCACAGTCCTGGCTGAAGATCTGAACACCCCCAGGGGCTGGTGAGGGAGGGAAAGATTGGTACTGCTTACCACATGGGGCCGCCCAGAGAAATCCTTGCCCTTCTTAACAAGCACCTCCTTGGCCAGCTGGTAGTGGCCGACAACCACTAGAGTCTTGGAACCCATACGAACAGAATAGATGGGGCCGTATTTTTTCTGCAGCTTGAAGAATTTGACATGTTGATGGCCATGTCTGGGGAGGAACGGCAGGCTGCCCACCAGGGGCAGAGACGGCAGGCTCTTGGGATACTTGGCACCAGGGCACCTTACCTTGGGCCAAAAGAAATAGGCTAGGGTGAGCAGCAAGAGAGCCACGAGCTCCCACATTGTGGCCCGGTGCTGGCAGGCAGGATGGAAGAGCCACAGCGACTCTAGGGTATGAGGAGGCCGTTTTAAGGGCTGCTTCACCTTGACTTGGTGTTATCTCTTGCCTTGTGAAGGTTTGTCCTGGAGCAGAGCCAGGCCCGAGCCTTCTCAGAACAGAGAGAAGGGGAGTGCAGTCCTCCTCAAGGGCTGGCTCGACTCCAGGGCAAACCCCAGGAGGAGGAGGTAGGTAAGGGAGGACTGCTGAGTCTCCTCCCCGGAACTCCCCATCCGTGGATGACCCCAGAGTGCACCAGAAGCAAATGGTACCTGGCTTAGGAACCAAGGCTTGGGACTTTCCATGTTGTAAAATCATTTTACATGGACAGATGACAGAGTCAGGAGGGTTGCGAATGTCCAAGATATTTTGTCTAGTCTTATTATTTCACAGCTAAGGAAATGAGAACTTCAAAAGTAAGGTCACCCAAGATAGTGATAGCAAGAACACAGATGTCCTAACTCCTATTTTGCTGCTCTTTCTAGCGGCAAGGAAGCGTAGTGGTTCAGAGCACAGGCCCAAGAGTCAGATAGGCTTGGGTTCAAAATCTAGCTTGGCCACTTTCTAGCTATATGACCTCGGGTGAGTTATGTAACTTAATTAACTTTTTTTTGTTTTTGTTATGAGACAAGGTCTCACTCTGTCAGCAGGGCTAGAGTGCAGTGACCTTTTCCTAGCTCACTGCAAACTCAAACTCCTGGGCTTAAGCAAACCTCCTAGCTCAGTCTCCCAAGTAGCTGGGTGTCTGCAGGTGCATGCCACCACACCTGGCTAATTTTTGAATTTTTTGTAGAGTCAGGGTCTTGCTATTACCCAGACAAACCCCAGCAAGGAGCAGAAATTCCATCTCCCACTTTTGTGAGTCTTCATCAATGAGTCCTGGTTGCTTGTCTGATGATCCAGCTTTTCTATAAAGATTGACACCAACAATGTGCACTCCCTTGGGGGGTGTGACTTTATCTGGTAATATCAAATCATTGATAAATACTGAATGAGCGGGCCGGGCGCGGTGGCTCACGCCTGTAATCCTAGCACTCTGGGAGGCCGAGGCAGGTGGATTGCTCAAGGTCAGGAGTTCAAAACCAGCCTGAGCGAGACCCCGTCTCTACCACAAAAATAGAAAGAAATTAATTGGCCAACTAATATATATAATATAAAAATCAGCCGGGCATGGTGGCTCGTGCCTGTAGTCCCAGCTACTCGGGAGGCTGAGGCAGGAGGATTGCTTGAGCCCAGGAGTTTGAGGTTGCTGTGAGCTAGGCTGACACCACGGCACTCACTCTAGCCTAGGCAAGAAAGCGAGACTCTGTCTCCAAAAAAAAAAAAAATACTGAATGAGCCACTGAAGGACTCCAGCAGATGAGGATAGTATCTCTCAGGAAGTTCTACTAATAAGAGCTCAGAAAAACTAGGGACCCCATTTTGTAATAATAATGATAAGAATATAGTACAATATCTAATGATGTGCACTTACTTTGTGCCTGGCAGCACTTTCACGTGCATTATCTCATTGAGCAGATTAAATATGACAATTACAACAACGCTGAGAAGTAGATCCCGCTGTTATTCCCATTTTACAGATGAGGAAATCTAAACTTTAAAAGGTTAAATAAACATAAGGTTACCACATCACACAATTCCACTCCTAGGTATATACCTAAAAGAATTGAAAACAGGGGCTGGGGGCTATGGCTCACGCCTGTAATCCTAGCACTCTGGGAGCCTGGAGGGGGGAGGATTGCTTGAAGTCAGGATTTAGAAACCAGTCTGAGCAAGAACAAGACTTCGTCTCTACAAAAAATAGAAAGAAACTAATTGGCCAACTAAAAATATATAGAAAAAATTAGCCGGGCATGGTAGCACATGCCTGTAGTCCCAGCTACTTCGGAGGCTGAGGCAGCAGGATCATTTGAGCCCAGGAGTTTGAGGTTGCTGTGAGCTAGGCTGACACCACAGCACTCTAGCCTGGACAACAGAGTGAGACTCTGTCTCAATTAAAAAATAAAAATTAAAAAAATCCTAAGTAAATAACAAAGAGAATTCAATTCTATACTACATGGAGACACTCTGGACAAGGTATTAGTTGTTTATTCTAGGAATGGGTAGACACCAAGATATCTATTAATATAATGAATCTCTTAAATAAGTCAATATTTGTCACAAGTGTTTCATTTTATTTATTTATTTATTTTGAGACAAGGTCTCACCCTGTCACCCAGGCTAGAGTGCATTGGGGTGATC